TTCCGCGACTTTCCAACGGTGGATGGTGAACAATATGATCATTTACCTGCAATGCTGCACGTTGGTCATCCACCTGTCGATTCCCACACGAAGCGCCATCATCCACTGACAATCCAACAACATCCACCGGAAAACCAACACCAACCATCAAACAAACATCCACCTGTAATCCAAGACGGGAGTCGGGCCGTCTCGGAGTCACAAGTGATTATTTTGCCAGCGGGCCAGGTTGACGCGGGAGGTTAAAACCACCAGTCGACAAGGTCGGGGAACGGCGGGCGATCGCGAGAAAGGACGCGCGGGGGGAACGACAGGACCCGGACCCCGCCGTTGGCCGCGCGTAGACTTGCCCCCCGCGATGCGGCGCTTTGGCCGCAATGAATGGCCGCAGCGCCTTCGACAACATCCGCCAATAAAATTGACGCCCACCAGAGGACTAGGCGCATCCACTGATAATCGCATTTAGCAGCGAATGCGTTCTTCCACGCTCAAGCTCGCGCACTGGCAAACGGCCGACATCCACAGCAAAGCCAACGCCCACCAGTCAACGAGCCAACGCAAGCGCAACGTTAAAAAGTAACAGCGAAGAGCCTCCAGGCCCAGGCGGGCGACCCAGAGGGGGGGCCCAGGGGAAGCTCCGGACGGGGGCCCCAGGGCGGGGTCCCGGAGGGGGGGGTCCTGGGACAGAATGCCACCCGTCCAGGGGGTCCATCCTGGGGCGTCGGCGTCGTCGTCGTCGTCGTCGTGGTCGTCGCGGTCGTCGTCGTCGTCGTCGCCGCTCCGGATCGGCGGCGCCCGCCGCGTGGCCACGCCCGTAAACGCGCGCCAAGAGCGAGGGGTCAGAGGCGCCCCGCGCCTGAGAACCCCTGACAGGGGGCCCCCAGGTCAACTTCGCCACGGGGCCCCACCCTAGAAAAGAAAACACCCAGGGCAGAAAAACGAAAACAGGGGCAATTCAAGCAGAAAGGGGGAGCATCGGGAAACGCCACGCCCGATGGCGGGGCGGCCGCGCCCGAAGGCGGCCCGAGGAAACTACCATTCCTCATGCGCGCCAGAAAGACGGAGGGAAACTCTCTGTTCGCGCGGGCGTAGCCCTTCCGCGGAAGTCGCCCCACCGGCGGGAGATCCGCCGCGTGGGGCGCGCGGGGAGACGTCGCAGTTAGACGGCGAAGTTAATGGCCCAAGACAAAAAAGAACCGACACGATATCACTTGGCGAAGCAAGCAGTAGAAGAGAAGGGCGACGAGAGACGCGAAATCATTAGACGACGGAGATCACCAACAGGAAACATGCGACACCGAGAGAGGAAATCCAAGAGCGAAGCCCGGCGCTCGAGACGCGCGGAACCAACCCCATGGCAGCGCGCTTCCCCGCCGCAAGACGCCGCATCGCGGCCTCCACGCCCTGCGTCGCGGGGCATTGGGGCCAGGAATGCCTGACTCCAATGATGCCGCTATCGTTGGCCCCTGAGCCCCGCGGGCGGCGACTCTTCCAGGGCCGGGCGCGGGGCGCGGGCTGCCGGGGCCTCAATCCTGGGTCCGTCGCCAGGGCGAGCCGCGCGTTCGCCGCGCCTGCGACTCCGAAAATGCACCGCGAAAGACGGCGGCGAAGAGTGCGACAAAAGACGCGCCGAGCGCTGCGCTGCGAAGACTAGCCGCGCGTCGCGCAAACTCGCGCCCACCGGCACCTCCGGCGAAGGTGCCAACCCCATGCAGAAGCGTGCAGCTCCACGGGGACACTCGGCGTCGCCGCGGGCGCAGCGTGCCGCGAGCGTCGCGGCGCGCTGCCGCAGATTCGCCGCGGCGTCGCCCCCCCCCCCTCCCGCGATGACTCCAGCGCCGAGTTCCCCCGCCGAAGCGAAGGCCGGCCTCGGCGAGCGCGTCGCACGAAGTTCCCCCGCCGCCGCGGAAACGGAAGTCGGGGAACGCCTCGCAACGTGCCCCCCCGCCGCCGCGGAGAAAGAACTCGGCGAGCGCCTCGCGACAAGCTGCCCCGCCGCCGCGGAGACAGACCTCGGCGAGCACTTCGCAACGGGATTTCCCGACGCCGCGAAAACAGGCCTGGGCGAACGCTTCGCATCAGTTTTCATCGCCGTGGAAGCAGAACTCGGCGAGCGCCTCGCGACGGGCCCCCCCGCCGCCGCGGAGACAGACCTCGGCGATCACTTCGCAGCAGGTTTCCCCGCCGCCGCGGACGCAGACTTCGGCGAGCGCCTCGCGCCAGGTACCCCACCAAGGGCAGCGATCTGGC